ATTCCTTCCAATATCCGTGGTCCCAGAAGGTCCCCTACCCTACTGGACCTCCAGTCCAATAACCAAACCATCCTTTCACTTTCCTTTAACCCCCCTTTAAATAATGACATACCTTCTCTCCCTGCTTAGATTCCTTATACCCTCAACTCTCTGGCCCCTTTCACAGAAAAACCCCAACCTTGGTATATTGACCTCCTGCTAACCCTGCACCGGCACTGGAGCAACTGCACGTGAAGAATCTCACTTTAAATTCATGACCACCCCTTTCAGGAAGACCTCGGTCTGCCTACCGGACCTACTACATTTACACTCTTCTAGACAACTACTTCATCCTCCTCTTCAAATTTCCCCTGCCCCAGCTAAAACTATCATTTCCATTTTCCTGAGAACACAGAAATAACTAGAGGAGCAGGAGCTCCCTATCTGCCAGTCCACCAGCGCCTGTCCTCTTCTCCAGTCACAAGTACCTGGCCATGCTTCTCACCACAGCTGACCCCTCTGCTGGTGCACCAGACCTCACCTTCTTTCATCTTCTTGTGAACATCATCCTAACAACTCACTTCCTCCTCTCCTACAATCATCAATCTTTCCTGGGTTGGGTCATTCTGAAAGGGTGGGGTCTTTTTCATATCCTTTCCTTCGTTATAAAAACCCAATAGGCAGGTATAATTTTCTCTGTTTTATATGTAGGAAAAGTTCTTTACAGGAGAATTCCAGCTAATTAATATAAATGGACTGAAAAATTTTAAAAATAAGTAATTAGGGAATAACCTTCAGTGGATGCATCTATTAATTCAAATTCTAATGGAGAACCTGACAAAGGAGGGACCAGGTTGGTGCCCCTGAACCCACTGAACAATCTTTCACCACTTAAGGTGGGATGACCACACTGTTTCTCCTGCGATGTAACATGAAGTGCAGAGTATCATTTATAATGAATTCTTGTCAAAGAAGTTGAACTAGTTCAAGCTTCTAGAGCTAACTTCCACTTTATTTACAGCAACTAAGGAGGTAACAGAACAAGTTAAATGCCACACAAAGCTAGAAAGTGGGGCACACTACAGGATAGTTGATTTGCAATAAGTCAAGGTCATGGGAAAAAGAGCAGGGCATAAGATGAAAGCTGCTTTAAAGTAAAAGGAAAAAAGTCGTAATAACCCAGTGTAATAAATGGACCTCATTTGGACCCTGATTTGATCAAATTGAAATTTTTTTAAACAAAAGGGGAAATCTGACTATGGACTGGGTATTGAGATAATATCAAACGTTAGTGTTAATTCTGTTAAGTGTGATGATGGCATTGGGCATTTCCATATTTTAGAGAGATGCATACTGAAGCACACAGGGGTGAGATGACATGGTATCTGGGACTCAGGCCAGGAGCTCTAGGGCTCTACAACTGGAATGTGAATTTCTCCTCTGTCAGCCCTGAAGAGGCTGGCTGGGACCTGACTCTCCAGTTAGATGGGGAAAAGGCTCAGAGAGAGGTTGAAGAGGAATTAAACCACCCACAACCCCATGCCAGGTGGCCTGCAGACTTTCCAAGACAGGAAGGATGTGATAAGGGGGAGAACTGACCAGTTCCGCATACTTCTTGCACAGAGCTGCCAGCTTCTCCTCCGGGGTACTCAGTGTGTTCAATGTTTGCATCAGTAACGTGATCTCCTTTCCTGCAAAGCACAGGGAGCAAAGGCATGTATCCCCTTCTCTGGGATTCCCCTCCAGACCTGCGCCCACACTCTTTGCCTTGAGGCGGCTCTCCCCTATCATACTTTATATTTGTTTGTTGAACTGATTGCCTTCTCTGCTAGTCCGTGTGCTTCATGAGATCTGAGACCAACTGAATTCTGCCTATCATTATAGCCCAGTGCTATCTCTAATGCTCATCAAAGTGGACATGCTCGACAAATACTTATTAAATGAATAACTGAATCTCTGTGTAATCTCCTTGGTGAGCACTAGGAGTGGGGGAAAAAAAACCTGCCTGCTCTACCACCAGGTGAAAGAAAGGAGTTCTACCTGTGAATTCAATGCTACTGTTTCAATGCAAGGAAGGCCATTTTGAAATAGGAAGGGTGCAAAAGAACAGGTCTCCTTGAGAACCACTAAACTTTTATCAATGGAAGTAGCCAACTGGTGAACTTTAAAATGAATGTACCTTCTAATATCTGATCCTAAGATTGAAAACAAAAAAACCTTTAAATTAGGGTATCAGTTAGGGGGTGGGGGAGCAGGGACTAAGACATGGGCATAATACCACCAGATTCTGATTCTTTTAACACACGCTAGCCCTTGACTCCTACCCTCAGCCAAATCACTTTCCCCCACTGCCTGTGCCTGAGTCAGATATTCCTTCTATCTCCCTCGAGAACCCCTGTACATAGCACAGCACTATGCTTCTGAAGTGGCAACCCTGGAAGGCTCCAAGAAATCAGTGTGGAGACTACAAATCACTGACATACAGGCCAAATCCAACCCACAGGTGGGTTTTGTCTGGTTCCTAGCATATTAGCAACTGTTAAAAATCTAAAGATTGCACAACTATAGATTACTGGCTTGTATTAAAAAATAATAATAAAAGGCTAGCTAGACTTAGCCTGTAGTTTTACGTGCTATCAACTAGCTGGGACCGGTCAACTCTTTGGATGAAATAGGCACTCTCTTGGTCCTTATGGGGCTCCCTGGCTATCTTGGCTTACTCGCATTCTCAACCCTGGTCTAGTCCAATTCTCTTACCGTAGAAAAGTGACAACTAAAGGACCAGAGAGAGGAAAGGCCTTGCTCAAGGTCACGCAGCAGGAGAGAAACAGTGCTGGCTTGCAGAAGAGTCCACCCAGCCTCCTACTCTCCATTTTCTCAAAGAGAGAACAGGTTGGATTTTGATTCCCACTTGCTCCCAAGGCCAGAAGCCCTTGTGCAATGAACAACCTGCACACCACTGTGCTATAGCCCCACAACCCTGACTTTGATTAAACTAGTGTGATTTGCTGTTCTCGGAAGTAGGGTCCAAACTCCCTCCTCTCACTAGCCTCACAAGAAGCTGCCCTCTGCTCACCCAGACCCTTGGCTTTCTTCTTCTCCTGTGGCCTTCGGTGGTCTCGGTCTCCGACCTCATCACTTGCCCGGATCTCGTCTGTGCCTGGCTCTCCCTTGGAGGTCTCCTTCTCACCATTGACTACTGGGGTCTCTGGCTCAGGCTCCCCATTCCTCGAGGCATAGGTCCGGGACTTCTCTGCATCTTCAGTTTCAGCAGGCTCACCTTGGGCCCCATCCTCACTTGGGCCCCCCTGATTGTTGTCCACACAGTATGTACTCAGGATGTCTTCCAACTGGCGGCTCAGCTCCTCAGAGACATCGCGGAGGGCCCCGGATGGAGCAGTTTTGGCTTGTGCTCCTATAGCAGGAGAGGGTGTGGAGCACACTGATAAATAATTTGGTTATACCACTGATTTGGTTATACCAACTTACTGGTTTGGGTTAAATGTTGCCTAACTTCTTTACGCCTGTTTATTTACCTATAAAATGGTATGTCTATTTCTCATTGTCACTCAACCATATCTGTTGTGAGCATAAAAGAAATCAAGTAAAATATCCAGCACATAGGGATAGCATGTAGCAGGAGCTCAATGTCTAGCCCATCCCCTTTTCCTCCCCACAAAAGTCATTTCTTGCTATTAAAAGTTTTAGAAATGCCTCAAGTATAAAGAGCAGTTACCCACTGTTTAATGAAGTGTTTTTATTCTGGATTTGCTGGCTGGGTGTCTCATTTGACTATTACCCAATTTAATTCTGTCAGAGCCTTCTCTCAAGGGTTATTCCTGTGCTTAGAGTGGAAGGCTCTACCAACTCCCCCAAATATCGTGGGGATGGCAAAGACTCAGCACTGTCCTACCTTCAATTTAAAATTCCTTCTTTCTGGGTAACAGTGGCCTCTTAACTTCAGAAGCTAGACTGACACACCACAAACTCCTCCTACTGCCCACTAGAAAAGCTGAGCTGGCACACACCCTCAGTCTTCCCTGAAGCCTGGTTGCTGGAACCTTCAGCTTCTGTTGCAGGGGCAGAGTGGCTGGGCAGCCCCTGGGCTCCTTCTGGTCCTGCTTCCGCTTGCCCTGGGTTGCTTTTAGGGTTGGAAGTGCTGCCTGATTGCTTGGCAGCCCCATTCTTTTTGTCTTGGTTCTTCATTGTGGTTTGCAATGGTAGGTGAGCAGATCCTGTAGGAATAAGCGCATTTGCTATTTTCCAGACTTCGAAATTCTTCTCAGCCTGGATAAAAGATCCCAACACCAGGTGCACACAGCTCCTTAAAACAAACTGGCCGGCCTTCACCGGAGGGAGCCAACGGTTCTCCCTTTCTCTGGATGGTCAGGGGAGCCTGATGTGCCCAAGCAGGTTTTCGGGGCGCTGCTCCAGGAGAGGGGGAGGAGAGGCTTCCTTTTTGCTGAAGCCTCTTTCCGGCACAACGCGGACCCCTCTCACTACAGGCCGAGCGCGGGAGAGGTTCCCGGCCGAAGACTGACGTGGCTAGACGCTCGATTCCCCGCCC